ACGCCGCAAACGGAAACCGATCACCCCCATAACGACGGTCATGGAGAAGCTCAATGTTTCAACGGAGACATCGACAGCTCCTGCTCCACTCCTTACGTTAGTGCCCCTTCCAGTCCCGGACGGGTGCCGGGATCCGTTGGGTTCTTCTACAGTGCGCCGGCTAGCCCAATGCACTTCGCGATAACCTCGGCGGCAGCGTCGATGGCGTCAGCGACTCGCCCGCCTTCTCCGGACAGCTCGGTGCCTCTCGGTTACGAGTTTGAGTTCTCCGCGAGGTTCGGGTCGTCCGGTTCGGGTCAAACCGGGTCCATGATCTCGGCGGATGAGTTGTTTTTTAACGGGCAGATCCGACCCATGAAGCTGTCGAACCATCTGGAGAGAGTGCAGATCTTAGCTCCGTTGATGGATCTCGGACGGGAAGAAGAGGAAATCGGAGAGGAAAGTGAATCCGGCGACGGCGAGAAGAAATCGAGAGGGCGAGAGCTGAGATTGCGAGATAAATCTCTGCGAAGAAGAACGAGATCCATGTCTCCCTTGAGGACGGCCGATGTTGTAACCGCCGATCAAATCCCCTTTTCCGGGGAGAAAGATGATGAAAAGAACGAGGAGATGATGTTCAACGAGACGAATGCTTCAATGTCGGCTTCTTCCTCACGCTCGTCGTCGGCTGGCCGGAGCTCGAAGAGATGGGTGTTTTTGAAAGATTTTCTCAGGAGCAAGAGCGAAGGAAGAAGCAACAACAAGTTCTGGTCTACCATTTCGTTTTCTCCGACCAAGGAGAAAAAACTCGGAGGAAACCAAACCGTCTCCCCCGCCGGTCCGGTGCAAGACTCGAAAGAGAGAAAGGGGAGCAGCGGATCGGAAAATCAAAGAGAACGGAAGCCGGTGAACGGGGTGGGGAAGAGGAGAGTGGCGCGGTCGCCGCACGAGCTGCATTACACGACGAACAGAGCACACGCGGAGGAGATGAGGAAGAAGACGTACTTGCCGTATAGGCATGGGCTGTTTGGGTGTTTAGGGTTCAGTTCAAAGGGGTACGGAGCCATGAATGGACTGGCGCGAGCTCTGAATCCTGTTTCTTCCAGGTAAAATCTCTGTTTCAGGGGAAAGAGAGGAAAATTAAAAAAAAAAAAATATTGTATAACTTAAATTATTAAATAAAATCGAAAATTTTAATATCGGGTGGCCCGACTTAATGCTCCTGTCCTGCAAAATGTTGTAACGACAACAAAAGAGGAGTAAAGGAGAAAATTGTAGAATTTCTTGTATAAGTTTTTACCTATGAAGGGATAAAATGAACTTCTAGTATTTCCTTTTTTGGGGGCATTTCTCTTTCTATTTATTTGTAAAGAAGAGAAAATTTGTCCTTAAGATCATGGCCTTGTATGCATGTAAAAGA